TTTAGGGTAAACTCGTTGTTCAATTTATTCCAGCGTAAAAATCGCCAAACAAACTTTTCGCGTCTTAGACAAACAGCAGCCAAATAGCTCGATATATGGAGATTAAACTACACACGAACATAAAAAAGGGTTGTACCAAGCTAGAAAAAAATATTTAACGATACAGTTTGCGCGCGCAGTTTCAATGGACCAGTACGGTTCAAATTTGAACTTTTTGTTTTACGACAAATTTTTTTTTATAATTTTATAACGGGGAGCGTTAGAGATATAAAAGATTAAAAATCAAATAGGAAGCCATTAGCATAGGAAGTCAACAAGCATGCCTATCAGTAATCAGTCATTCGTAAAAGAATAATAAACACATTTAAATTGAATTATAATGAATATAAAGGCTTGGTTATATACCTGTAGGAAATTAAAGAAAGAAAAAAAAACATATTAATTGCAGATTCACCTTAGCCACAACTAAGTGATAAAAAAAATACCTTTTCCCCGAGTATGAGAGGTTTTTTAATTTATATACAATTATTTTTATGTTAAATATATATATATATAATTTTATTATTATTTTTAATATGCTTTTAATTTTTTAATATATTTTGTTTTCTAATTTTTTAATTCCTATTTGCTTATCGCTTCAAGCCGACTCCTAATATTTATATGCTAACAATAAATAATAAGTAATCGTGCATGCTGAAGCTTGAGCAATAACACCAACTGCGCATCTAATAGTTAATTTAATTACCTGCTGGGGTTCAACACCTTATCAGCGTACCAAAATAAATGTGCACACAGTATACATACATATAAGCGCACGAGTAGACACTTTGCTAAATGCTTATATGCATGCAATCGAAAATCACAGCAACCTATTAAGTGCTAAGTAATGAACTCTTACAAAGGAACTAGTAAAATATTATCTCATTTTATATAATTTCAATAGTACACAAAGTGTAAACCCGTGGTTATCATACATGGTGTGAGTGTTGAACACGTGCTACTACAAATTTATTAAATGATTACATACAATGGAGACTATTCTAAACAGATAGGCTTAATGAATTGGCTCGATTAAAAAATAAATGCTAACCTTTTACCCATTTAATATATTAATATTATACCTGTATCATAAACGGAGATATCGATCTGAAATTTTGCTTATGTACGTCCTTTATTCCCCACAAAGCTGCTAATTCGTCGGAACACTATAGTATATAGCTGCCATACAAACTAACCTATCAAAATCAACTTCTTATATGGAAAACTTTTTTATTTGTGAAGAACATTGTAATTTTGGTGCAACCCAAGTTAACTTTTTTTCTTGTTTTTATAAAAATTTATAGGTACATGTGTAAATTTGCGCTCGCAGCAATGCTGACCTCTGCGGCAAGTCATTGTGCCAAAAACGATGCAATTTCCGCTTTTATTCAATACCTTAACGGTGAGTAAGCAATATGATTGGAAAACCAAAATAAAAAACGAAAACTAACATAGCAAAGTCTCTAAGTCACATCTTGAATTCCGAGCGTTTGACATCCTTCTTTGCGCCCGGCATTGGAATGCTTTGCAGTCGTGGACACAAATCTGCGTGTGCCCGTACAACTCATATACTTATATCATTGAACGAACGAATTGATATGCATATGGACGTATGTATTGTACGTATGTGCGATATGCTTCCACAATAAATAAATACACTTATCTCAGCCGCCTAGGCAAGTCAATGAAGCATATTTGTACGAGTGCGCGTATTTTGATATTTCGTCGCTCTTTTTCTCTGTTTAGCATTGCAAAATAGAGGTACTCACATGATAATTAAATTCACTATTGTTTGTTTTATTTATCAAAGCGGTTCACTGAAATGTAAATACAACAAACCGATGGACACACAAATGTATGTATGTATATAGTGATGTACAAATAGATGTTCACACATAAGTAGGCATTTACATATGTGTATAAATACAAGATTGTTTGCATGTACATACATACATATGTACAAGTAGATGTGACAGATTAAATAGTGCCCAAGTCATTGCGGTTTATTGACTTAAAACTGTTTCGTTACACCTCGCTTATAAACAACGCAAAGGAGGCGGCGTTCGTGGGACGTGAACGGCATATGCTAAATAAAACGGCGTGCTGATTTGTCAACCGGGGGCTGATCGAATAGTGTAGCGAAATGAATTTGAGTATTGATGTGATTGCATTCGTGATGGAGGACATTTAGCCGAATTATTTAGTGGTAAAATAAGAATGCTAAACGATGCGAAAAAAGTAAGAAAACTAAGAAATGCTAAAAATAGTGTTACACCAGAATGCGATTTAGCTATATTCTGTAGTTATGTACTATATGTATATGTAGAATATTGAGTTCACGACAGTAACACTTTTAAAATGATATGCGTGAAGTCAAATTGATAAATAATAAATAGTTTTTTATTAAGCGAAATACTAAGAGAAAATGTATCAACCAGAAAAATCGTTAACTACTGCACCGACGCCATAATACACTTCACAGATGCGTTTTTTATAGCATAAAACGAGATCGTTATCTTGAATTTGATCGGTCCGTTTGTATAACAGCTATGTACATATGTATGTACATATATGCTGTAGTGAACCGATCTAAACAGTTTCTTCAAATTTTGTACCTATGCCATAAACAATAATTCTAGTCAAAGCCCGTCATGATATATCGATGATGAGAGACTCGCGTATATACAGTCAGACGGACATGGCTAAATCGACTCAGCTTGTCATACTGTTAATTTATATATGTATATACTTTATAAGGTCTCCGACGTTTCTTGCTGGGTATTACCAACTTAATATACCGTTTTTAGGTTATAACAAAAATTATTAATTTTTTTTAAATATCACAGTTTGACGTTTATAACCTACGTGAAAGTGTTGTTTTTTTTACTTGTCAGTCCGGGTCAATTTTAATGCAGATATTGAATTCTTGAAATACGCTCATGGCGCTACAAATAAAATTTTTTATTTTTCCTTGCTGTAATTTAGACAATCGATGAATAGTGTAATCACTTTATGTCCGAATAAATACGGCTGCGTTCATAATATATGTATGTAAGTACATGTGCTATTAATAATAATACCTAGCTATTCAACTACATTTAGGTAATATGAAATCAAAGTGCAACAAAGTGTATTATTATAACGTATATTATATATGTATGTGCGTATATTTGTGTGTCCGGTATCGTCATTTGCGCTATAATTTTCGTATATATAAAATAAAATGGATAATAGCCATTGGCTAATTTGTCATATTTCTTTTTTTGACTTTTATACCCAATTCTAAGTGGTTTCATTGCGGAATTGTTATTGTTTTTGAGTATACATACATAACTAATTTGTTCGTGGCCTTTATAGCAGCATAACCTCTTATGAATATATTTTGTTGCTTGTTTATTTATCTTTCGCTGCTTTCAGCTACTTACATTTCTACCTTTTAGACTTAAATGTGTATAAAACTACACAAATCACTGCAATGTACTTCTTAATATTTATTTACAAGCATACATATTTGTCACACATAGAAGCTTGCTTCAGACCCAATACCGACATTTGTCGTAACATTTACACTAGAAATCAGACGACTTACAGTCGAATTTCCAATACAATAGGTAGCAATAAAATGCACCCTTTTTTTAACAATACGCCAAAATGTGTGAAAGGTTTTATTTTATGATTCCCTTGCATTCAGGTGCGTTTACATGTGCATATGAAGAACATTAGATTCAAGGACGCCCCCATGCAAGGAGATCAATGAAGGCCGTGGCCACAGACCGACCGTCAGCGACGCTTTCGTCAGCCGAACGCAATGGTGCCTACACATGCTTTCCTACTACCTACACTCGCTTTAAATGTATCCAACAAAATATGGACTTTATGATTAATACTTACGATTTTCTATCAGATGCTCAATGCATACGTTGCTTAATAGTAAGAACCACACAAATATATATTTTTCACACAACACAGATCTAATTCATGTACATCGAATTTTCCTGAATTTCTTGGTTTTGGCTCGTTGCTAAAAGCCTTCCTCCATAGAGGAAATTTGCTAAGTTTCTCCAGCTGCTTTGTTACGCTTCCTGAATTTTACCTTGCAGCTATATATTGCAAATTACTTCATTTTTTCCACCGTTTGGTGTAGGTCTTGTCTAGGTATGTCGATGGAGTTTCTATTGTTTCTGTTGTTGTTGCTCGACAGCTATGTTGTTAGTGGTTGATGTTGCTATTGTTGTTCGACTGGTCACTGCTGATGTAGAAAAATTTCTTTTGCTACTTTTTCACTTTGCCTTTTCCACACCTTCACTTTGCAAATTTGCACTTTTTGTAAACAAAAATAATGGAGAATCTGCATTGCTCACTTTTTGCACATTTCTCCGTGAATTTGACAAAGAATCTTTGATTAAAATTTCCATGCGAAAATTTTTCACTTTATTCACCGTTGAAAGACTTCTTGCAGAGCTCGCGAACGATTCGATATACAGTGTGAAAAAGTTGAGGACAGACACAACGAAGTATTAAGCAAAATAAAATGTCAAATAACGGCGTTGTCGTATCGAAATTTATTTGGCGGTGTCAATTTCATTCCAATAGTGTTGCTCAAATAAGTACCGAAATTTCGTGATTGTGTACATATATCTACCCAACGTGTATATATGTACGTATGTGCATAAGTTGTTATGAAGAGGTAACAAAAATAAACAAATTAGAAATATATTGATTTTAAATAATTCAGCAGTTAAACTGAAAAATTATGTATGTTTTTAATCGTAATTAGTCTTGTTCGTTTTATAAAGCCTTTTTGTACCATAAATCACCAGGTGTAATTAGCTTTTACATATTAAAGAACTTTATTTTTAAATTTCATTTTTACAATCTCTATTTAGTTTATGCTTCAATTTTTTTTATATTATTTTATTTAATAATTTGATGTTCGTATTAGTATGTATGCATGTAATATCTTTCTTTAGGTCGGAAAGGTTCTTTATTTTGTATCCCCATTCAAACAAACTTGCTTTTGAAAGTTATTTAAACTAAATATTCTACATTAACAATTTCGTACATTACATTATTAATTTAGTTGTAAATATAATTTCGAGTATGCGCTCTGAGCCGCTTTGGCTGAGAGATTCATTATCCAGATCCGAGAAAGTGTTTCGACTTGAAATAAGTGTATATTTGTGTTTATGGTTCTATTAGTTGTGTATTTATATAAGTTGTGGGATTGTAGGTTTTGAAAGAAGCGTTCACTAATTCAATGTTTATACTATGTAATTATTTATAATAATAAGAATAAAAGCAAATTTATTATTAAAATAATTAAGATATTAAATAAACGTTAGCCATAATTAATGTTTGCACTATGCGAGGTTGGCTGATAACTGCTCGATATATTTCGCTGTTGTTGTTGTTGCTGTACCTGCATAGACTGCATTTGAGGCTGATAGTTAGCAAGCTGTTGTTGAAGTAGCTGATGATGTTGCTGTTGTGGTTGATGTGGCTGCGTTGCCATTAAATGGTTCTCATGGCACCACTCAACAAAATCATCAATAAGCACCGGCCATGCTCCTTCTGAATCATAGTTACTCATATTGTCATCAATGTGTGTAGCGAAATCCAGCAGTAAATTCCAGGTGTCTTTAGGTATGGAACGTTTATGCTTTTCCTGCGGGTAATAAATTTAATATAGTTATAATGTTGTAATGTTGTTATAATATATTCTTTAAATTACCTCCAAAAACCTACACCACAGATCTAAGAATTTAAATCGGCTACTGAGTACAATCTTCCAGTAGACAATGGCCATATTTAAGTCGATGCCCTTCTGACCTGGATCCTTTGCATAGTTGAAAGTAAACTGATAGAAGTCCTTAAATTTGGCTACATCATTTAACTCCATTTCCAGTTGAGGCAATTTCGCTTTGAGCTTATCTACACTGTCCACACCGAGATCTGCCATACCATTCACAAATTCATCATGTTTGAATTCACATTGCACTTCAGCGCGAAATTTCCAGGCAATTATTAGAACCAATTTGGATTCAGGACTTAAAGCGAGATCATCTAAGAAACGTATAACTCCATCCGCGGTAATTTTCTGGGGTTCACAGGGATCGCGGTAGCGCAGGAAGAGCTGTTCAATACGTTTGCGATCTAGTTCGCGATAATAATATTCTGGATTCTGAAAATAATTGTCGCTAGCTAACTCCAGCTTCCAATCATTTTGTTGGAGGCAGTATATAGCCGTTTGTTCGCCCGTCTGTGTTAGCGATATGAATCGTTTTACTTTATCTTTTTGTGTGGACTTCAATTTATTCTAGAATTATGAATAGAGAATAAATGAAAGTATTGTTAGAATGATACACGCACATTATGTAAAAAAAAAATTGGCATACACATTTGCAGTTAGTGCCAAAAAATGATTGTTCTCCGTGTTTGTGCGCGAACGTACGTATTATTCAACAAATTGGTTCACTAATTCCTTATTGGATTCTCATTGGTGTTGTAGATCGCATCCAACAAATTTATGCATAATAAGAATGAAAAACAATTATGCACTTTATATTATAAATATGAGCATTGCACCGCCAGCGAAGTAGCTTTGTTAGATGTTAGCAAGAGTTAATAGTTAGTTTAATTTGCACTAAACAGTGAATGCATACAAATTCCATTGCTTGTCAGCTGCAAATCTCTTGCATTTTTTGCCCGCAGCCACCCCCTTACATTGATCCGTTGCGTATGCAATAAATGCAGTACACTTTAATCTGCACTCAATTTGGACTTCACTTACCATCTCGATGCTACCAATTGTTTGAAAGTGTGTCGTGGGAAAATTTACTGTTCCGACGTTTCAAAACTGTCTTCTCCAAAAAAATTAATTTTCCTCGCCTTCTTTATTTCGACTTTCTTTCGTTTGCTATTTTTACGTTTCGTTTTGCGCTGCCCTTTCGCAGAGAACGTTGACAGAGCAGAGAATTGAGTTTTCTCTGACGTTGAACGTGTGCTACCAGACGTACGAATCTTCAGAGTAATTCTCAATGGTAGATGTCGCCTTACGGTAGGTCAAGCTGTCAATTAATCTCAATCCCTTTGGCATGTGAATTCGTAAATATTTACGAATTGATGGTACAAAAGTAAAAAAAAAAACTGACAATTGTCCATGGACGGATGTGCAAAAGGTTTGGGGCATTTACTGTTTCGCGCTCAAATTGAAGCGGAAATTCGAATCGACATACTATCAATTGAATTACATAAGCAAAGAAATTATTATTAATAGTTGCTTTTTGAATTTTAATTACCATTAGTAGCTTTTTGCATTCGAATCTTAAACACGCAATAAAAAAAAAACAGTTGGCAATGAATTTATTCAATTTAAAAATGTTTTGTATTTTTATTTAATAGCATTAAAAACACAAACTAAAATTTATTAGAACCTAAGGTTAAACGTAGTTTTCGTTATTTATGTACGTATGTATGTATGTGTGCAGCAATCTGGGATATATAAGACGTAGAGCCAAAAGTGCACTCGTAATGACTGCTGCAAATTAGTTTGTGAAAGGTGGTATCGGTGATTTTTATTAGACGACTAGCGCCATGTATACATATATATGGGAATGCGCTATGAAAGTTACGAAATAAATGAAAAAAAAAAAATTAACAAAAAACTAACATTAAAAAAATACGATTTTACAAAATAAAACTAATTATACAAAAACTAACATTTCGTAAAAATATTAGTGTTTTATGTTCTTTTTCAATCGATTGGTTGTTGTTGCATGGCTTAGAACGCTAGAGAAATTTTAACACATTATACATTAAAATGGCCAATTTAACGCTGGAAGCCAAATGAATACGCATATAGTATGGCAATTTTCTACTGAATCAACACATCTATCGTTTTGATTTTAAAAGAGCATTTTCTCCAACATTTTACTAAGTTTCTCATGAGCATAGCGCATTTTCTGATACAGATCCTTAGAGCAACCATGTTGTTTGATGGTTGAGAAACGGTAAGTACGGAAATTCTTCTCATGATCCATATAAGTAATGGCACTCATACGCGGACACAATATAATCTTCATATGATCGGAGAAATTCAGCTGAAATATATAAGGTTGGCAGCTGAAAGTAAATGCTTTTATAAAATTCGAAATTTTACAAACCTGCAGTGAACCATTAGTTAAATGCATAACAACAGCGCATGTTGTGCGAAACCACGAATGTAAATGTGGCATACGGGAAATCTGATCGCTTTCGAAGTTCACATTGTTTGCACCGGCTTTGACAAGATGTTCGGTCATGTAACGCTTAAAGTACGTGAGCAACTTCATTTTCTTATCCAATGATTGACAGTAATCGGTGGTGGTCATGTACGTTTCCTTTCCATCTTTGTCAATGAAATGCACATTGCTAGAAATAAATAATAAATTATTACAACAATTAAGATTTTATTTAAAATTTATATTTTAGTCGAACTCACATCTGGTTAGGCAACAATATGAGTTTCGTAGTGTCATTAAACATTACACCCATTCCTTCGTCGCATAATTGATAACCAAAACCATATTTGTCACTGTAGTCCACCCATTTTGACACCCAGAAAAGCGGTTGTGCTGCTGGATCTGTGTTTTCATCACCCAAATTACGGTACAGCAGCTTCGGCTATAATCATTTAATGTATTAAAACAATTAAATTCAAATCATATAATTTGTATATTATTTTTGCGCATCACCTTCGCATTAATGAGCTCGGTCAATTGTTGATGCAGGCTCTCAATATCAGCACGATAATCTTCATTATGACGGAAAACTTGTGCAGATGCAGTAATGGCATCGTGCAAGTTATTTTTAAGGAATGTATGTTCTAACCGTGTATCATCCTTTATGCCGTTCAATTCTAATAAAGGTTTGCGGTGTCCCATGCCATCTCCAGCCAAAGCCTCATTAACTTCGAGACGTGGTGCCATGGTCAAACAAGAGCTGGGCAAGAACATGGGCACTGGAGAACAGGCGAGAAAATCAAAATTCAATAATTTGCCAATGGTTGGCCGCAATTCCGGTTTAGATTGCAACATGGCAACAATCATATCAGCCGCCGATTTACGTAGATAACTTGGTACTCTATACAACAAATATATACAAGATTAGATAGCTGCAATGCATTTAATATTTCGCAAAAATTAATACAAACCTGTATTGACACTTTTTGATTTTCTCATATGTATCTTTTAGTGTTTTTGTTTCAAATGGTGGTTGACCGACTAGCAGCGTATACATGACGCAACCAATAGACCAAATATCGACTTCAAAGGAATGTCCTTTTTTGTTGAGAATCTCTGGCGCAATATAATTTGGTGTACCACATAGTGTCTTTTTGCGTTCACCTTCGTACTCAACGCGCGTCGCTAGACCAAAATCACCAATCTTTACGTGTAGTAAATCATCCAAAAAGAGATTGCCTAATTTGAGATCACGATGTATGATGCGATGATCATGCAAATATTTAACACCCTGTATAATCTGATAGATGTAGTATCGACATTCGTATTCAGTAATTGTTTTACGTCGTTTCTGCAGCTCCATCATGGACTAATTATAAATTTAATTAATGGGTTTTAATTAAATAAATTTATATTAAAAACAGGACTCACTCTCTTTTTGCATAACTCCAATACAATGTAGATATTGAAACTGTCCTCAAAGAAACTGTGAAACTTAACAATATTTTCATGACTCAGGCTTTTATGTATTGTGATTTCCTGAGACATTTTTTCCTTTTGATTATGTTTCAACATTAATTTTTTAGATACAATCTTGCCCGCATATACATTGTTGGTCTCCACATCAACTATCTCATAACATTTTGCAAAGCCACCCTGTGTAATTGAACTTATTTAGTATTTGGCAACTCTGTATAATAAGTATTTAGGATCAGCAAACTAAATTCTTCTAATGAAATGCAATAAGACAAAGTTAAAATATACGCTTTGCCATTAATTTTGCTATAATGCCTTGTAAAGGTCAGTTATCAGAACGCTGATTTACCAAGATAAAACCATTATTTTAAGTAGCATTAAAGTATGCTAGATCGTTAATATTTCATTTTTAAGTGTACTTACTTTTCCAAAAAAACGCATACGCTTGTAAGTGGACCGAGATGTAGCATCATAGAGCCTCTCTGGTATATCAGACGTTTTATCATCAGTCTTTTGTGCCATAGCGTGCAAGATTTCAGCTGCTTATTTAAACACGCACACACACACTTGCACGTACGTTTACTGCACAGATCCTCCGTAACTAAACCTAAATCCGCTAACTTTCGTTGTCTTTATACACACAATATTCCCGGCAAGCGTTGACTGCACTAAGAATATATGCGATATTTGCGCGAAACAAACTAATTTTAGCGTAAAATATATACAAACAATCTCGCGCGCTTGTCTTTGTCGCAATATAAACTAATTAGACAACGTTTATACTTAACCAGTTTAAAAAATCAATAATACAAGACAAACGTTGACAATCGAACGAATTAACGATCAACTAAAGCGCACAAAGGAGCGATGAAAGTGTGCTTAGAAAAATATGATCGCGGAGGATAATGAAAACCGTTTGTAGCAGAATTTTCAAAATTCTTTTCGAATGACTTTTGCACGAACATAATATATGTTGTCCTGCTCTATCTTATGTTCGGTAAGCCTACTTCCATGTTGTTTGATCTTTGTTGTGCGAAATTTTCGAAGTTGCTTTGTTACCCAATCATTGTGAATACATTGGATACAGAGTTGATTTCTATGATAGATTATGGCGCGGTACTATTCATAAATAAGTCATTCAAAAAATTGCGGAGATTTCTTAAACTATTAATTTGCTAGTTTTTTAATATAAAAGACGGTTATAAATTGTGGAATTTGGCTTATTTGAAGTTTCCTCAGCACTTCGCTATATCGCAAATACGCGTTAATTAACAGAGCAGTTGCGATATAAATAATTCAAACGTGAGGTCGCTTTATAATGAAATGCTATGAAGGATTTTCAATATTTTTTCTAGCAGTGTATAGGATGCGGCATATAAAAATAACATATATATAACATTTACAATTAAAATAAATCTCAACGCTATGGATTCGGCAAATATCTGCCACTTGAGCAATATTTCCAATAAGAATTAACAAATGTAATAGATGTCTGTATTTATAACCGGTCAAAGGCTGTTTCCTGTTTGGATCTATAAGCAGAGAATGTTGATGAATATTCTTCATTCATTATATTCATTAACATTCTCTACTATAAGTAATACTTTATCAGTCGGGTTTACGCGACCGGAATGTACATGCATTTTTATCCGGTCGGAGATTGTCAACTCGGTTGCATTTCCCCAAACTACTCCAACAACAACGCTATCCAGAAGTACAAGATATTATTCACTATAGTAATTAAAAACAATATTTTTTACAACTTAAACGCATTATTATTCTTATCATTTTTAGTTTTATTTTTACTTTTTAAATTTTGAATATGTTTTGTATGTATCTCAGATCTTATTTTTTCTTTTAAATTATTTATCAAAGTTGACGTGAGTTTAGTTTAATTACGCCACAGTCTCACGCTATCAGCATATTTTAACTGACATGATTAACATGCTTTTCTTCATTGTCCTCATCACCTTGCATTACTTTAATTATTATCATTATTATTACCATTACTAAATACTAAATGTTCCAAATATGACTATATGCTTTTGTTTACGTTCAGTTTATAGTTTTTGTGGCATTTGGGCTGAAAGTAACTCGCTACATATGTGACATACATATGTTGTCACTAAAACGATTTCTTTTGTATATAGGTATACCGTGGTAGTTAAGTCTGTTGTGCTGCGCCCAATACACTACGTGTTGAACTCTTATTTCAACTTTTCGCCTTCATTATTTAATGGTAACTTATTTTTTAATCATTATGATTTATATTATTAAGAAGCAAATTATAGTAATTACTATTTTATCGTAGTAGTAGGAGTTTTTGTGTTCGTATTTTAATTATTTAATAGTAATACGTTAAATGTACTCATTCATTCTCATGCGTGTTTTCCCCAGTTTTTTGCTATGAATAATTATTATTTTTATTTTTTATTTAATTTTTGTTTATTTGCATTAATTGGTTGACTGATTGATACGTCTTGTGGTAGGTGTTGTTGGCATTACAAGCTTTATATTAGTTTTATTGTTTTGCTTTGGAATTTGCTGTCTTTGTTTGTTTGTGGTACTTGAGTTTCATTTTAGTTGATCTTTTTTTTTTTGTAGTTATGAAATTAATTCCGGTTTTTGCTTTTGCTTTAATATCATAAATTCAGTATTTTAAAGATAATTTCAGCTTAATATTGTAGAACTCGTATATGTGCGTTGCAGTCGTAGCCATTCCACGAATTCATCCAACATAACAGGCCCTAAAATCACAATATAATAAAATACAATTAAATTGTTTATTGTAAGTTTTTCGTATTACAAGTACTACTCACATGCGCCATCGATATCGTAGTTCGTTAATTCATTGTTAATTGTGCGCGAGAACTCGAGTATGTTGCACCACTGATCTTTATTAATGACTTTGTACTTTGATTGATCAAGGAATTGCGCGAAATGCGGGTAAAGTGGCCAATGTTTGCCTAGCAGCAGTTGTAGCATTGCTTTTGCTGTATTTATATCCATGCTACGCTGATCGGAATCCTGAAAAGTAGACGGTATGTAAAAAAATTTGTCATAAATATGAATTGAGCACCATACTAGACACTAGATATCGTATATTTTTGTTTATTTATTATCAATAGTCGTACCTTGGCAAAATCGTAGGCATATCTGTATATGCTTTTGAAGACATTTGGATCGTTGAGTATACTTTTTAAATATTCTAATTTAGATTGCATTTTTGCAGCAGAATCACATTCTAACTCAGTGAGGCCCTTTAACCATTCACAACGGCTAAAGAAGCCCATTTGTGTAGCGCCCATTTTGTAAGCTAGCACAAGCATCACAACATTTTCTGGTTCCACACCAATATCATCGCAGAATTTTTCCATACCATCGGGACCTGTATGCATAAATTGACAATAAATATAATATGTAAATCGATTAAAAATATTTATTAGTAATACAATATTTACCTAGCGTATCCGGCTCATCTGGGTTTGTGTATTTGCAAAACCAGTCGACACAACGCTTTTGGCTAAAACTGTCTTCAGCCTTAATGTGACGTCTGCAAACATAAAATATAATATCGCAAATAATTTATAAACGTACATATAAAAAAGCACGTATGCAAATATTACTTGTCCATTTATTTAAAGAAATAGGCAATCTAAGGTATACTAATTTCCTTTTAATACGAGTGCGCGTAACTAAATGAGCAAAGCATAATATAAAAAAAGAAATATATTTCTTGCAGCTGATTATTATTATTTTAGCGTTTTCGTATACATTCATTTTTGTTGTTGCTTGTCTTCTCCTATAAATAGCCACACTATTAAGCAATAACAACAAACAACCAAACAGCAAACACACGAACAACGAGCAGCGCAATAAAAAAAAACGTCAACAGTATTATCGATGAAGAAACTGGTGGAAATTGAGACTAAAAAGTGCAGAAAAGTCAAGAAAAGCTGCTGCACGTAAAATCAGATGATACCGTGAGACAAATTCAAGGCGTTAATTTAGGCACGTATTGGAAATAAAAAAAAAAGTGAGATAATTTAATGCGTATTTTTTTTTTTTTGGCAATGAATATTATGAAAGCATTTCCGTTATTGCATCATAAACACATTCGAATATGTATATATTGAATATATGTCACATTAATAGAGCTTAAGCACGGTTTTTATTACCGAGTTTATTATATTGAGCGTGCTTAACTACCTGTTTATATTAATCTTTGGTATTTTCAACTTCATTATTGCGCTTTTAGCTGCAACTCTTCCACTTTCAAAGTTATGACTAACAATTGTAACGAAATAGCACAGCTATCACACCACGACACCATGACTGTTATCAGTAAAATTACAACAAACAATAACAGTTTTGCAAAAAAAAAAAAATGCTATATATACACTGATAAAATGCAAAATCTACCGACAGTTATCAATGAAATTGATATGGGAATGCTATTAATACAGGGTTCATAGCAAAATAATTTTTATTTGCTATGATAATCAATCAATGTGTACGTAATTACTTATATTATTTAATCACTATTCATAAAAACTCTAAACCTAAATGCATGAATGCTTATCGTAATAAATTTTGAATTTGCATTTAATCAGTTGTTACTATTGTTGAAATATTTGCTTTTTCTTGATATGGATTTAATGATTTTTCACTTTGCCTTATATGTATATACAGTTATAGGTGTTGTCTGCTTTAAATTAAAAGAATTGAAGAATTACCTGCTGGTATTTTGTGTTGTCGCATAGCCACCGCGTGGCCGTTTGGAAGTTGTACGCTCCTCTTCGCCCCCCATATCGTGATTAGAACGTCGTTTACCGCGGGGCATAGCAAACACTTCGATAGTTTATTATAAATGTGTGCGTAGGTTTTAATAAAAACAGCGGATATTTATATAGATAAACTATTTTGATGTAAATATGAACCAAAGAATGCGTCTATAAATCTTATTTGCAGGCCGGTAGTTGTTTTTCCATTAATCACTATATGTATGTATGTGTGTGTATCCTTGGAAGTGTTTTTTTTTACAATATAAAATTGGCCGACTCCTTCACTTTTAGTTAAATTAGATCAAATCTTTACGCTTCACTTTGGGCTATTGCTCTGAAATATATGCAACGAATATTTAGTAAATAAAAACTTTATTTGGTCTGCTTTTAGGCTTTCTAGCATTCCTTTAATACGCACTGGGATTTTTCACAGCTGGTGGTTGTAGTAAATGTCAAACAAGCGCCGTAAACAAAGCGCTGAGTAGGCCGACTGCGAATTAAAGAGCGCAACACAACGTTTTACGGAGAAACTACAGAGCAACAACGTTGAAGCAACTAGAAGGAAAGAGAATTTATCATAAATATTTTTTAAGACAGTGGTTGGAAATAAATATTTCATTCATTCACTCTAATATATAGTATAGGTATATGTCCATTCCCACATTAATATGCAATGCCACGCTTTCTATCAAACACATTTAGTTCAATAAATCGTAACATGAACACTTCCGCACACAACAAGTTTGTATCTATTCCCAGGAACGTTATCTTTAAAGCGTAGGTGGAGCTAATAATTTGATATTTTGCAAATTCCAGAGCGTGCGTATATCCTATTACACATATACATACTCCTCCCGACATCACCGGCAAGTATACTAGGCATATTTGTAAGCTATTAACTGAATTTTGACACTTGCTTTTGGTGTGCCCATTCGCAGCACATCCTGCCCCAACATTTATATACAAATTATTGGTTCCTTTTTTCGCGTACTCCCAGTATTCAATTCATACCCGCCACCGTCTTGCTATATCTTCAAGCGTCCAATGCCTCGACATTGTCGCCGATGCTGTAAATTCACATGCGGTTCTTTCATTATTCTAGATGCGGTTTCATTGCTATTTTTGCAACTCACGGAGTATATCACTGCCCCAACTTGAATTTATTTACCACTCAATACACAATTAAATAGTCAATAAAAATAAATCTTTTATTACCCGATTAATTGATGAAACTATTTTATAATGGCAACAAGAATTTCTCTTTTTGGTGTTTTTAGATTTTGGTGAAATGAATTCGACTACAACTCGGAGAACGGTTTATGTATGTTCAGTGACTGCGAATTTGACAATTTACAATATTGAAATCTAATTGGCATGTGCTTTTTGTTGTTGGGTGAAAATTGTAGCAACTGAATCGAAGTACCCATGTCGTGCGAAAAAAGTATTAAATCTAATTATTATTGATTTCGTGCGATTTTATACTTTATAATAACATTTAAAATTATTATTTGAATTATAAATAAATTTATAAGAAATATGAATAACAGATCTAACTGAAATATAAACAGCGATTAAAATGTTTTTTCTCCGAAATACTAATGGCTTATTCACATAAAAAATCGCTTCTCTTTGCGTCAGACATTTGTTTCGACATAAAGTTCGATGTATGCTTTTGTATAAGTAGTTTTCATCACAGCAAAACGCAGCAAGGCGAAGCAATAATCTTTTTACGCTTCGTCAAGCAACATTCGTCATTTTTGTTAGAGAGAAACATTGAAAGCATACCCTTTGCTTCCTTCGCTACGTTGTTAAGGTATGAATTGTCCCGTAAAGCTCGGAAATTTGTACGTTTACCAAGAAATGCAACTCTGCAGTGTATCTATACTTACAGACACATAGTGTCTGCATTGAACGCAGCCATATAAACAAACGAGAATTTTATTTACTTTCAAAGTTGTTTTTTGCAATGTCCGCATATGATAACGTCAGGGTTGGAAAATTGGTGTTAAAGGGCGAAAAGCCGAAGTAAATATTTTCATTTATTAACAATTTATTTTTTTAAATTTAATTTAATTTCTTTCTAGAAAGTCAAAAAAGCATAAACGCGACAAGGAGCACAAAGAGAAGGACAAGGCGAAAAAACGCAAAACTGAGGTAGATGAGGATGCACTACGACATGGTGGCTGGTGGTTGGCAAAAAGTATACCAGAAATCACCGGAGCAGTTGCCATTGAGTTTGAGGAACGTGCTTATTTAAAAGCACTGGATAATGGACTATTTACGCTAGGATCGCCGCACAATGAAGGCGAAGGCCCAGACCCAGAAGAAGTATTCACAGCATTTTCAATAAATGAGACAAAGATATCCATTAAGTCTGGTTATGGAAAATATTTAAAAATAGAAAAAGATGGTATGGTTACTGGTCGCTCAGAGGCGGTCGGCAGCATGGAGCAATGGGAGCCTATATTTCAAGTAAGATATATTAATATGAAAAAAAGCAAGCTCATCATTTCTATTATTAACCATCTATAGGATGGTAAAATGGCATTATTATCTGAAACCGGTTTTTTCATGTCAATTGATCCCGAAGATGATGCATGCGTAGCGCTACGCAGAAAAGTAAATGAACATGAAATATGTAAAATACGCTGCAATGCACAACGTGAAGCGGAGGAGGACGAAGAACCCAAAGAAGAAAAGGGTGACCTAACCGAAGTAGAGAAAAATTATGTGTACGTTATAACATAGTTTAGTCTTTAATATAAATTTCGTAATCAAAATTTTATCTGCTTTCTCATTATACCCTAGAAAAAAGTTCCAGAAGTTCCAGGACAAGAAATTGCGCATCAACAAGAATGACATCAAAGAACTAGAATCGGCAAAAGAACATGGTACTTTACATGAAGCTTTATTAGATCGCCGTAGTAAAATGAAAGCAGATAGATATTGTAAATAAATCATTTAGTGCTACCATCAAAATTTGGCTTGAATGGGAATATTATTACTAGTTTAAAACTGATTTGTATCATAACCTAATAGGAATGGTAAAATCTGCAATTTTTTTAAGATAAATCGCTCTTATTTAATATATGAGCAAATCTAATACAAAAAGGAGAGAATTTATTGTTAAACAAGTTATATATGTTCATAGATCTTTCAGTTATGTTATATTTCTTAAGTATTAGCTCCTCGGCAAGTAATTGAACTAATTCTCCATATATATATATATGTACATACATATGTATATCCAAGAATCTTGTTTTAATTACTGCCACAAATCACAGCGGTTGTAATTTGGAGCACATAAGTGCTTCTTTATCAAAAATAACTTTTTAAGATATTAAAAACAAATACGGCTGTGATTTGCAGATATACGCAAACTAATCTGTCAGCTTTTGACTAATCGATCTAAAATTTTGCACACGTTCTCTTCTCCCAAAGAAGCTGGTATTTTTTTAGAACCGCTAATATCGGACCACTATAGCTGCCATACAAACTTAACGATCAAAATCATGTCGTTGTACGAAAATATTTTTTATTTGAGAAAAATCACGCGAGTCACCTACACACTGGCCAGTTACTTTACTTATATAGTGCCAGCTGGCAGCCAGTTTCCCCTGAAATAATCTTGTGATTTCCAAATGATATCACATCCAGGCGCGAGAGTCACCTAAGCACTGGCCAGGCACGTTGCCTGCTTTTCTTTTATAGAGCTAACCAGCTGTATTGTTCAGTTCGGACCACCATATCATATAGCTGCCATACAAACTGATCGATCAAAATTCAGTCATTGTATGGAAAAAAAAAATCTTTACGAAATTTGGCATGGATTATTGTCCAAAGCAACGGCACATTCTCCGAAGCAAATTGTTTAAATCAGACCACTATAGCATATAGCTGGCATACAAAATGACCGACCAAAATCAAGTTCTTGTATGGATCCCTTCGTATTTGTGTATTTATGACAGGTGTTATAGTTTCAATGCAACCCAGATTAACGGTTTCTTTTTTTAGTTACTAAAATTGATACTTTGTATAAAGTCAACAATAAAATTAAGTGATTCATAATGAGAAAGGTGTTATTTTTCTGTAACTCGTAAGTCTGAGTAATCAATTCTCTAAAGTAATTTCTATTCGAGTACATACTGGACATTCGAAGTGGAATTGCTTATATTTTGGAATAAATAGTAGGAGTGGGCAAAATCGTAATGTTTGTAGAACTTTCTTACAGATCTAATTTACTAATGTTCATATATGTACCATCATCATACTTAAATTCATCCACAACTTTTTGAAATAATAAACTTGGTGAAATTTAAACATTCTGCATGAAATTTTATTTTTAACATAAATAAGGATATTGCTTATTTAAAATTATTGATATTCATAATTAATTATATTGCTTTCTTCTTCAAAAGTAAGTGAAAATATTTAAGTATGATATAAGCGACATAAACTATCGCTAGCATACGTTCATTCAAAACAAATACACAAATAAATGAAATTTTTGAGATATAATACTCGTACTCAAACCTCGAAAATAAATTCACTAAATTGAACGAGCTTGTTTCGATTTTTGTTCAATTATTACTATAAATACTAAAAAGTATTGAAATTTCATTTAGAAGACAAACCATTTACAATTCTAAAACATACTTACTGGTTGCCGGAATCATAAAAGGGTTTTAAAATAAAGTCATAGTTAGTGGGAAGAAAATGGTGGTGTTTGCATAGTCACGTCAGTTAGAAGTTAACATAGTCATTCAGTTTGTGCACCTGTTCTGGTTGTCTGTCATGTTATTTGTGTTAAGTTATTGCAGTGCATTCATGGTTGTAGCAAGCGAAAATTTGGCTCGCTTACCCCTACCGACTCTTGGCGAAGCATAACATGACGTTATTGCAATTAAGCATTTAAAATGGGTACGGTAGTAGTCGGTTTGGGTGGTAGGGTATATACATGGACAAGTACGAAGCATAGCATCTTTTTCAATTTGGTATGCGAAGAGTATTTGAATTTAATACGGAAGCGCAGACGGAGATTGATAGAAGATAGTTGGACGCGTTCGGTTTCGAATGATACGATACGGTACGTTTTTGATTTTCTTTCAGTTTGGCTGATTTACTTGATTGATTTGCGAAATATTGTGCGATGAGTATGAAAAGCGGAAATGTGCGACGCAATGGTGGCAAACGAAAATTAAAAGGCGGAGGACTGAGTATAAAAATGTTGGAAGTTTTGGAAAACGTGTTTCGTGAGCGTAATATACGTAACATACGAAGTACGATAGAAATATTACAAACGGAGGACATTTAATGTGACTAATTGATACATTCTGCGCTTACTTTGTCCGCCGTATGCGTGCTTTATAAAACGCGTTTATATGCAGCTGGAATGAATGTTCGAAGATTGCTTTAAACTTCTTTTGTCTGCGAAGATAACACAAAACGAAGCCAATTCGTAGTTGCGAGGTTGGAGCTTGGATAATGCGTATACGCGAGCGAGCGTGTAAAGGCGTGGATTTGAGGCTGGAAGTGTAGAATATATTAAATACGTCGTATGTCGTAGTTTGAAATATGTTTGTGTAGATAAGTTTAGCGAAAAATTAATATAAGGTAGTATAAACGAAAATTCGAAGTAAAATCAATACATCCAGATAATTTTACGAATACTGTAAGTATATATAGATATTGAAGATATTTATTTCAAAGTTATATTTGTTTGCGTAGTAACTGTTGTCTCGAATTAGCTTATAAATAGCGACTAAATTTTGTTAGCGGTAGACATTTTCTACAAATTATCATCTTCATCATCATCGCGCTTTTTTCGGTTGCATGATGTCTATTTGTTCTACATTTACTTATACCAATTATTGAATTTTTGTTTTCTTGTATTTTCTTTTTTTTTTAACTAAACACACTGTGTTTTTGTTTTGTATTTCGATAGCCCTTACATTTCTAAAACGAATTGCAGTTTTGCATTTCTCAAATACTCTCTTGTTACTGCGTACTAGTAATCTCCTAAAAATTTTCAAAATTGCGCTGTTGGTCCTACATACACGCGAGATCCAACAATCACCTCTTGCTACCTTCTCTTAAACACATTATTTTTTTAGATTACTTTGTTCTCTCCTTAGCTGAACTAGTTTAGAAGCGATGACCGACTGGTGAACGCGATCTGAAGCGTCCTCCACCTTGGCTGCTGCCACCACTACGTCCGCCACTTCCGCTACCGTAACCACCACTACCGCCGAATGAGCGTCCACTATCTCGTCCACCACTGCTGCTACCGTAAACGTCGCGTCGATTGAAGCCACTACTGCCGCCATCACGGCTGCTGTAACCGCCACCTTGACGGCCACCACCACCGGAATAGCCGCGGTCGTGGTAACGTCCGCCGCCGCTACCGGAGCCACGTTGACGGTATCCACCGCCACCACCACCGCTATTGCTACGGCGGCCGAAGTCACGTCGGCCACGGTCGCCCATACCACGACGACCTTGACGTGGCCGTCCTTTGGAGATTTCTACACGTAATTGTGAGCCCAGCAATTCTGTACCATTGAGGACGTCGCAGGCTTTTTCGGCATCATCGCGATGCTCGAACTCAACAAAAGCGAAACCTGGTGGATTAAAAGCAATCCAAACAGAATTTAACTTGCCATACTTTGTAAATTCGCCTTCTAGGTCATCCTTCTTCACTTTATCGGTTAAATTACCGACATAGACGCGTGTGCCTCGTTGATCACCCATTTTCACTTAATTTGATTTACTTTTCTGACTATATATGGGTATATTTAATTAATTTTACACTTTTTCCTGCTGCTCGTCGTACAATTGCTGCTGCTACTTTGAATGGCTTCAATCGATTAAATCGGGTGTGTATAATATTTTTCGTGCTTCGCTTGCTTGAAAAACAAAATGTCGGTTTTTGGCTTGGTTCGCACACAGAGTTGCCTTGCTGAAACGGAAATGAATTGCAAATATAAAGCACATTTTTCCGAATTGTAAAAGATTACTTATGGGTATTCAACAACACTATTCCGCAATCATAAATTATATACAAATTTCTGCAACCAAAAATTTGTATATAAAAATAAAATTTTGCGCTTAGTTACGCTAAATTAGAAAAGTAAAGACAATTTCGTGGTGAGTAATTTCTTATATAAATATATATTATATATATTATAATTTTTAAATATAAAAATATAGAAAAGCAAATAGTTTCAACAAAACGTTTGACCTTGTATTTGCTTTTCTTGGTTTCAGAGAGTATATATAGTTATAAAGAGTGAGATTTATTAACTTAATTAACAAAGGCAAACAAAATTCAAACTTCTACAGTTATCGATTAATTTTTTGTCATAGCTCTATGCTACCGATAATGCAGTTCATCCATCTTTATTACTTTCCGGTGCCTTTTCATTCGTTTCCTTTGATTCGCGTTCAATTTCTTGGTAATAAAAATTTTTCTGTTCAACGTTGAAATGCAAACAATAATTACTGTGTGTTTTCACATATTTAGAAAAGATGATGGATTTACACATGCAGCTAACCGCAACCACTGTGCCAAGAGAGCGCTAGTACCTACCAACTGAGCTCAGACTTGCATGAGAGACGCTAACTGCCACCCAAAATCACCCCCTGCCAGTGCATTCATATACTGGTGCGCGTAAATGTGCCTTCACGCCGTAAATATGTGTGTACAAGCATATACAAAGTGTAACCAGCAGTTGACTTGCTGAGGCACCAAAACAAGCGCATACAGCACACAGTTAAAGGTACGCTACTTTCTTCGAACAACCACCGCTTGCATTTGCAGTAACCCATTCCTGTAAAGCATATATCCTTTTCCAACACTGCTATTTTATCAGCTCGGTTTTTTGAGCACTACCAAACCACCACCACCAACTCCATCAACAACAACTCCGTTATAAACATAGCCGCACAACATTCACCACCCCCCGCCTGTATATGCGTGCCTGTTGTTGTGTCTGTTGTCGTTGTTTTGCCGGTCTGTGTTGTTGGAGGACATCAACTTCGGCAATAGTGTGGCTATCGCGCAGCGCCGAAGCAATGTTTTCATCACGTTTCGTCGTCACTGACTCTGTCACGACTCTGGTGGTACTGGCTCGGATTTATGCTTGGCGTGCGTGGTGTATCCTAGTCGATGTTAGTGAGTTGCCGTAATTGGACGTGGGTGAATTACATTGAACGGTTATTTTCGTTTTACTCGGTATTAATACGCGTTGACGACGACGGTGTGACGAAGCCATTGATATAAAGTGATATGGCGTTGTGAGTCTAGTGTCTTGCATTTTGTTGATGCGAGCATTATTGGCAATTAAAAATATTATATATTTGCTTGTTAATATCTCGCGCGTCGGCGACTTTCATAAAGTGACAGTGTTGATTACAACTTTCGCCTAGACAATAAATATGACAACAAAATTGAATATATTGACGAAAATGTGAATCGCTGCATAAATAGTAATTGTAATTGGAAGCAAAAAACTTTCAACAAAATTGTTTGTAAAACATAAACAAAAGTGATAAATAAAAACAAATTGAAACGAAATTTAAAAAATAAACAAAATTTACTATAAATTAAAATAAAGGTGTATTTGTTGAGTATAAAATAATTTTATTGGCATTGTGCGGTGCATGATTTGGTAGAAATAATAATAATCAACAAAGCTAACTTAATTAAAATAAAGTGAAAAGAAAACAAACAGCTGCTAAAAAGAGATGAAAAACATAAAGGATTGTAAATTAGTAGCAATCGCTTAAGTTCTTTGAACTAAATTTTAAGTGAATAAATTAGTGATAGTGAAATTTATTAATAAAAAAATAAATATATATATATATAAGTGCTTAAAAAGTATAATATTAATGTGGTAAATAATAAGAAAAAATTTGTTTTAGTAAATTTTAACCGGAGGATTCCGTAATATTTATATTGTCAAAAATAAGATATAAAGTCTTTCGTAACAACACGCTGGTATTGAGATTATTGCAGTTAATTGAATACAGGTGAGCTTTATAAAAATTTTGTTATTTTTAGATTGCCTCCCGACTTTAAATTTTTTAACTCCCCTGGTTTTTATACACTGCACAGGACAGGCTTGCAAATTTTTTAATTAAAATATTTTGGATGAAAAATTAAATTTTAGTGTTTTTATTAAACAATTTTGAATTAAAAATGAAACTTTCACTTTTGAATTAAAAATTTTGGATGAAAAATCAAATTTGAATTTTTTTATTAAACAATTTTGAATTAAAAATTAAATTTGAATTTTTTTATTAAACAATTTTGAATTAAACATTAAATTTGAATTTTTTTATTAAACAATTTTGAATTAAAAATCAAATTTGAATTTGTGAAACTGAGTCGTAAGCGATTCCTCGGCTGTACTGTTAAGCTTTTTATTGCTTGCGGAGCTGCTTGACTCTTTGTAAATATAGCAATTCGTTGTTAGTGTTATAGTTTCGCTTTAGCATTATATCTGCAAAACCAACTAACGGCGAAGACCTTAGCTTGAAATATGCTCGGAAAACTGCCATGGATACTGACTACTTGGTATTTGGTGCCACCATCCTAGCACCAGTATATTTTCGCTGTTTACGAACCGTCAGTATATGCTCATTATAGTCATATATTACAAGTATATAGCGGGGACAATCCAGTTCTTATTTCTGCCTGGCGCAATTTTGAATACTTTTGAGGTTTGTCCTCATCCCGTTGATAAGACAGAGTGTCATCGGTACGTCTGTGTAGTGTCGAAAATATGCCTCAAATAATTGTGAAATGCTGTCGAGCTGACAGTTCGAGTTCCTCCGGAAACATAGACCCGAATGTTATGGGCATCACTTGAAGTAGGCTCGGAAGATTGAAGACTGATTGAATTTGGTTCTTGGTTTCACTATCCTAGTACCACCTGCCTCCGCTCTTTACGATTCGTCAGTATACTAAAGAATACTTATTTGGAGCGAGACTATTCATTTCGTTTTGCTGTCTGGCGTAATTTTAAATCTTTTCTTAAAGTTCGTTCTCTTGTCCTTCCTAGGGTAGACTGTCGTTGGTATATTCTGGTTGCAGCGGAAAACTTTCCTTAAATAATTGAGATATGCTGTCGAGCTGACAGTTCGGTTTCGTTGCGGTTATATAGACCCATATGTAGTGGGCATCTCCGCAACATTCGTGTTGTTATTACTTTACCTTTTATATCTAAGTTTTTGCAGTTCTTTATAGAGCTCGGAACTTTTGTACCTTCTGAAATGTATTCGCTACATAAAATATGGAATAGTTATGGGTGGAGATTGCTTTTACATTACATAAATCTATATGCCTTAATTTATTGTGCGCGACTACTGCTAGTTAGCACAGATATGTATGTATAATGGTTTTAAAGAAAAGCTTACACATAGATACACACACATTTGCATACATACATATGCATGCTGTCACTCATCGTTTACTAAGTAATAGAGAAATAAAGTTCAACTTCTATCCCATTAAAAGTTTTATGTCTGAATAGCATATCAGTGTGACACATCCTTACCGAGATGTCCACTTTCTTTCTACTAAATTAAGAAGAAGAAGCAGTTGAAAAACACATGCGTTGCTCTACAACTTTAAGGCCGCGCTGTATGTGAGTACCGTACCAGATACTCGTATGTAAAAAATGCAGAGAAATATGCGCTTAAAAGTTAACTCAATTCATTACGAACATGAGTCATAAAAAAAATAATTTATATATATATATATGGTATATGCCAGTGTATAAGTAAGTCTCTAATAAATGTGTTATGTTGTTGTTGTTGTATGCAGAGTTTTTGGCGCACGCTCCACTGCAATCACTGGCACTATGCAGTTTGGACGTGTCCAAACTTTGTCATTTATGCATGCAAGGCAATTAAATATGTATATATGCGGATATAAATTGTGCTTGAATATGTGTGCATGTGTGTGTGTTGACATTTGTTTGTCTATTTGTTTGTTTGTTTGTGGAACTGCACTAATAAAATATGCCGGCTAACATTTAGCTTCGTATTCAGGTCAAAAAAAAGCAAATTTTACGGAGAATGTCGGGGGAGAACAAAAAACAAGCGCTCAAAAATTATAATTTGTCGAAAAATAAACAAAACAAAAAAAAAAAAGAATTATAACGGTATATTTATATGTAAATTTAACTGCAATCATGTCATTTCTGATTTGCCTGATTGTAAAATTTACTGTTGCTCAGGGCGCATGTAGTGCAAAGGTGCGCCAAGTTCAGTGACAGATCGTCTTTTTAAATATTAAATGTAGTAAAAAGAAATCCATTGTTTTTGCATGAAATTGAATGCTTAAATTATTACTTTTCGTATCCAGCCTTATTTAAATGGTTCCAAACGGTTTTTTGTGTAATGCTTAGGTCCTGGACAATCGTAATCGATGTTTAGACTCCTTCTCACGCCATCTAGCCGAACCAAATCAAACTTATACAACGCGAGATACTGATAAATAACGCCATCTATTGGAAAAGTAATGGATTTCTTTTTACTACACCTAATATATAGAATTTTCTACAGAGTTAGCTGTCAAAAGAGCCGTTAAAGTAAAAACATGTGTTTGACATTTACAAGGTGTGTTCAGAAGAAAAGGTGAATTTTGATTTTTATATTCAATCCTTATTAGCGCCCTCAAAAAAGGCAATTTTTGAGCCGATGCAAGCAATCCAATTTTTCGTACACTTGTAATAAGCTTCGGCGGCGGCGGAGTTCAGTGCTTTTAGTAAATATTGGTTTTTTCGGTTTCTGGTAATTTTTGTAGCGTCGTTCGCTAGATTGTTAGACAGTTTCGATGTCATATTCGTTAACCCACATCACGCCCCCAGCAATAATGCGTTTTAAGAATGTAAGTTGCTCAGCTTCGTCGGCAAGCATCTCTTTTGCCACCTCTACTCGACGTCGTTTTTGCAAACGAATGTTTAAATGGACCAGTCCGAGTCAAATTTGATCTTGTGTGGTATACGTCTCGATGCTATTCGTCATATCAAAGAGTTCTCAAGTCACATGCAACCAACGCAAGCTATGGCATTCAAATCGATTATCCTTGGATTAACAGTAAAGCAAGTGAACTCACTATCTAGCCCCAATACCCGCCTTAATTGCATAATTTCCACTTAACAAATCATAAACCTTATGCTAATTTTAGATTTTTTTTTACACCACATTAACGTTCAGACATATTTTAATTAACATTTCAATTTCCTCAAAATTCCATTTAATGCTCAATGATTTCACCTAAACGCATTCTCCGTAATGTCGTGCATATTACGTCAAGCATGCCGCAAGGCAGTCATTATCTTGCAAACAAAAGGCACATACATACATGCCACACATGTTTGCCTCGTTAGGCTGCACACACACGCATATGTACATATATTATATATATGTAGTAATATATAATATAATATAAACTTCAGTAATGCGCTCACCTCGCCGTCATGGCGGATTTGTAGGAGCAAGTAAATCAGTTTGTTGTCAACTTCGTCGCCGCTTATGACGTATCAAAGATGAAAGTGAAGGAAATTTGAATTTTTTTGACAGGCAATCGACTTGAATGATAGGCGCACACATCAATTTATCGGTTGACAGCGGCGCATACGCGCGTTCGCGCTTTTGCCACATACATATGTGTGTATATGTGCTTAAATGTATGCCATGCTTGGTGTTGTAGGTGCGCGAGCTGCAAGGCTTCATAGCTGCTGGCACAAAACTACGAGTATTACATACATATGTATACACAGTCATCAGCATTTACTGCCATCCGTTGCTTTGTGCGCCGTTACATATATTATTGTACTCACACCAACACATTAACACACTGCGCCACCGTGGCCCCCAACTCTACGCTTGTATGCTTTATTCCTTGTAGTCAGTCGTTTGAATAGCGGCTGCAAGTTGGTGAAAAAAATGAGCACTAAAATGAAAATTCACAAATTTGTTTAGAATCGCTTTCAGCATCATTGCGTTCTTCTACAATCATTTACAACACGCGCCAACATGCATTTTTATATATGTATGTAACTATGTAGGCAGCTCATACCCTTGAGTTTGTTAAAAACATGGATTATTGTGGCTTGACTTGGCATAATGGCTATGGTTGCGTATAAGTTCGTGCTTTGTGCTTGGCTGTATGCACCTCACTTGTTGTGTGTCTATGTGTGTATCTACATGTCAGCATATGTAACTAAATCGCTTTGAATATAATATCCTTCGGCTTGTAACTGTCATAGACTACTCAGCATACAATTTAAAAAAATATATATATGTACATGCAATTTCACTCACATCATGACTTCTAGTCTTCGTGTTGTAAGTGAGCTTTCGTTTCGTATAAGCCCTAAAGAGTTTTGTTATAAAAAAATCCTATCTTTACAGGTTGGTATTGTAGTGTAAGCGCATAACGTCTCACTTGTTAAGCTATGATTTAGAATGGCTTATGAATGCTTGAAGTAATTCCCAGTTGTTTGCTTATCTGGAATATATAATTTTGTGAAGTTAGGTTGGTAGAGTTTGTGTGATGAAATCTCATCTACTTCCGTAAAGGTATAACTTCTAATTAAGAAAGCTTTTTATGATTTTCAGCAGACTTGCAGTTTGCTTAAATGAGCTTTATTTAAGAAAATCATCTGTACTGCCAAAGGGTTGTGTTGGATAAAGCAGAAAAAAATTTAAAATTTTTACATACAATTCATAATATTTTTTAAATGCGATTTACTTACTTATAAACTATTTGTATTCGCAAAACCAAATGCCAAATGGTTATGTTGGCTAAAGCAGAAACAAAGAAAAAATTTATTCTGAACTTGCATTCTCAACTGATTCTCAAAAATTAGTTATATATTATAGTTAGTCATAGAAAAAAAGACACCTTGCTACTTCAGCAGTCATCAACGCGATTTTCATATTTGAAACCAGTTGTTGTTTTTCAGTTGATTTCCGTATACACTTTTGCATTCAAGAATGGCATCAACACGTAGAGA